ACATCAGGTAAAGCAGTTTGAAATCCAAGTAAAAATGTTCAGTGAAATCAAAAAAGAATGCTGTGATTATGCCTTGGATATACTCAGTCTGATTACAGTGAATATTCCTCACCATAATAGTCTTTTTTTTAAACTAACAAAGGAAGGTGAGTTTATTTCTGAAATACAACAAAGTAAACAGGCGTCTTACAAAAAAACCTTTTTAATGCTATCCTAAGAATACAATACAAAATTAGAGGGCCAAACAACAAATCTATTAATAGGGAAAACAGACTCAAGACGAAAGAATAACATAAAATTTGAGCCCTGAAGTCAAAACATCTGCTTATGAAATGATTGCATATTATGTGTCCAATATTTTTATTTTTCTCGCAGTCCAGAGCTATTTAATTCAAATGAATAAGAATGTACTATGAAATGTTAGATTCACATTTTTTTAAAGTTTATTTTTATTTTCCTGTTTTGATAGCCATGAATCTTTAAAATCTACACATTCTGTTCTTTTAATACATATTAATCCCCACGACACTATTTTGGAAAAATCCAGATCTTTTTGGCAATCTAAATAAACAGGCGTATAATTCACACAGTATTGATTTCAGTGTCTTCTCAGAAAGCAGATCACGGCAAGAAGCATCTGATATGTTTTATAAATTCACCCTTTAGTCAGTCTATTTGTCTTTGTGAAGGATGGATGTAGAACGGGAAGAAAAGTTGTGCTTTAGTGGAAAGATCGTCAGACTTGAATTTGGAAAACTCTAGTTTGATCCCTGGCATTACCACTTATTAGCTCTGACCTTGGATCAAGCTCTTACCCTTCCTGAATAACACTTTCAGCAACTGTAAATGGGAATTGAAATGACTTATATTAAAATCTCTGAATAAAAATCAACAAATGACTTCTGAAACAGTAGCTGATCCACAGCAGATGTGAAATTAGTACTCGATGACTTGGATTACAGATGACTCCGCAGACCTAGATTCTAATCACAATTATTTTCCCAAATATTTGTATAAAGCTTGGCAGCTATTTATCTTATGTGGATATCTTAGTTTGCTAGGGCTGCCATTACAAAATACCACGGACTGGGTGGCTTAAACAGAAATTTATTTTCTCACAGATCTGGAGGCTGAAAATTTGAGATCAGGGTGTCAACAGGTTTGGTATCCCCTGAGGTGTCTCTTCTTGGCTTGCTGATTGACACCTTCTTCTTGTGTCCTCATATGCCTTTTCTCTGTAGACACGCGTCTCTGATAATCTCTCCCTCTTCTTATAAGGACACTAATTATATTGAGTTAGAGCCCATTCATATGACCTCATTTAACCTTTAAAGGCCTTATTTACAAATGCAGTCACATTCTGAGGTGTGCTGGAGGTTAGGACTTAAACATATGAATCTTAGGGAAACTCAATTCAGCCCATAACAGTTGACCTTAATTTTATCTGTAAAACTAAGATCTTCTTGTTATGTTATATTTGCTCTTGTTTTCCATATGAAGACTCAGAAAACTTTTCTAGCTATGGAGTCCAGAGGAATGGTTCTAGTGTTAGATCAATGTTTTGAAGAAGCTAAATGACAGAAAGACACAAGCCTTCCCCTTTGATTCTTGATGTCAGGTGGTACAGGGATCCCATGCATTGTGACCAGTGAAAATAAAAAGAGCGGGGCTGAAATTCAATGGAGTCAAAATGGTGAGGTGACAACTTAGGAACATCTGTGAGTGGGTTAAAGCCTACCTATGGAATTCAACTGCTTTTCTCTTGCTGGACACTATGAAGAAGTAAATTGTCTAAATGACAATCACAACAGCATCCTCCCTTTGGAATAAAACAGATGTTTTGGTTGAAAAGTAAGAATAGAAGTCAATAAGGAGAGAAGCTAAGTGGCGGGAATCAGGGCCGGGTCCTTTCTCTTTTGCTTTCTTTGGCTTTGGTTTTCTTTGAATATCTGAATACCATGCAGCCAACCAGTGCCCACATGCTGTTTGTCCAAGGTAATGGGAATGTAAATCTATATTGGACGATTTTCAGGTACCAGACTACTATTCCTGAGTGAGTAATTCCCAGGGAGCTTTGAGTTTTGTAAGATCTGTTCAATAAGGCTGCTGTATCCTGCCCATAGATTCATTTATTTCAGAGGTGATTGTTTGGCAACTGATAGAATCAAGCTTTATATACTATTCACAAAGAGAAATGTAGTAATATGGTTCACAGCAAGAAATATAGGATCAGCCATCTTGAAGTTGGCCAAAGACATTTTATCTACAAGACCTTGTCAACAATACAAATTTGTGTGTTTAAATCCCAGTGGGCCAATCTCCACATTCTTTATCTGTACTCTTAGGTAACAAAACAAAAATCAAAATGAAATAAACCTATTTTATGTATTTTTACAGAAGTATAAGGAGACAGCATAACATATTTAGTTGAATGTGTTGTTTTTTTTAAAATTTCAGAAACAATCTGGCTTAATACTTATTCTCACTTTTTAGCAGATATTTATAAGATGCCACAACAAAATGTATTGCATAAGTTTTTCAGCCGGTGGGTGTGAAGTGTAGAACTAATAACATTCATGTAATATACTTGTACCCATATACACTATGTTTTTCATTCATTTAATTGTTCATTCATTTGTTGATACATACACCAATTTATTCTTTAACTCAATAATAGAAAAATCATTTGGTGCTAGGCATATATTTAGAGACTGGGGATATAAAATGAAGCTATAAGTTTTCTGTCTTCAAACAGGTCACACTCTAGTGCTGTTATAGTTACCCACGAAATCCTTTTTAATTCCTAGGGATAAAAAGTAAAATAAATTTCATTTTGGGGACTGGGGGCACTAAATGCTTCAAATGATGTCCTTTTTGTTGGTGGAGCCATGACATACCTTGAAGGGTGTTGACTGACTGTGTGTGGAGGCCAAAAACGTCTCAGGATGACTGTGGACTATTTCTTGGTTACTAATCTAGCGGCTGTCTCAGGCACCTCTGTCATGCTGAGATTTTAGCATTCGTGAAAAGTTGGGCAAGGATCGTGTTGGTTCAGCCGGCAGTGGTTCTTTGAGCCAAATAAAAGAGGGTGGGAGGCGTGTGAGTAGGAGGCTTGTTGAAGGATTTCTATTTTCATGGAAACATAATGTGATTTTTTTTTTTTTTTTTTTGAGAAGGAGGAATCCTTAACTATAGAGGTATTAGTAATTATCACTGACGGGCATTTTGAATAAGCATGCACAGTAAATTTAAGCAATATTTATCTTCTCTCCTAGAAATAAAATCCTAGTTGAAGTACTTATAGGGGTAGAAATATTCCCAATACAAGCAGAATGTTGATAGCTGCATTAAAATAGTATTCATTCAACCCTGCATCATTTATTGCAATTGTCACATTTATACAATATATTTTAGGGTGTAAACACTGTAAAATAGTTTTGAAAGATGCAATTATCACTTCACAGTGTACTATTAAATTAGACTTGAAAAGAAAGAAAGGAATAATTCAATTACTCAGAAGAGTTTTAATGTATAGATTCTAAGTATTTCAGTTTGCCTTATTTCGTCTCTAATAAAAGCTTAATGCAAAATTAAAAATATATGTTGTGAGAAACCACATCAAAACTATTTGAAAACTCTTTCTTAATCACAGAAATTGTGTTATTTTTGGAGAGAATATTCCTAATCAATAGTTTTAAAGCAAATTTTATGTGTGGTAATACATTTAAAAGTAGAATAAATATGTCTCCATAGACATTTTCTAAATCATAAGATTAGACTTCACGGGTTGTTCATTTAGAACAGAAAGGAGGTTTGAGGATAATGTTGTTCACTCCTTGCATTCTAGGAATGGTGAAACCAAGGTTTGAAAAGACTGAGTTGTCCCATAGCTATTTAGTGTCAGGGTTGGTACCAAAATCCAGTACCATCTCCCAGTCTAATGCCTTGTCACTTGTCTTGGTTATGAATTGATTTATTTGCAAGTAACAGAAGCACTCTCAAAGAAAGGAAGGAAAATCTCACCCAGTCCAAGTGAAAGGAGCACAGCTGGACATGGAGTCTATGCATGGTTATTCCCTCTCTTGCCTGCTCTCATCTATGTTTTCTCTGAATTCTTACTCCTTTTTATCACTCGTTTCCTTGGCACAGCTCGTAGTTTCTATGCCCTAAAAACTAGTTTGCACATGTGAGGGAATTGATTCTGAACGGAGAAGCCACTTGCTCATATGGCACTTTTTGTGAATTAGGAAATGTTGCATCTGCCCCACCATATTTATGTATGGTGTAATTACTAAGAACAGAGTGGAATCTTTATATTAAATGTGTCTCAAAGGAGGTAATCAGGGGCTACTTTCAAAATGTTTAAGGACAGAAACAGAGCAGAAACTAAGCATTCAGAAGGAGGCCACTTGGTTCTGATAGTCCATCAGTTGCTTTATCTGGGAGGTCTGGCCGGGACATCCAGGGGTATAGTGGGGGCCTTCAGGAGGGTCAGGACAGTGCCTATTTGCCAAACAATGTGAAAGCATTTCAACGTTTTAGCAATTGGTATGGCAGGCTCAGCCCTGGAGGAAATATATCAAAATGCTCCAGTGACTTCTACTCTAGGGAAGGACATAACAGTGGCTTGAACAGCTCTCCTTTTACAGCAGAACTTTGTTGGTGGTAGACCCTTATCTCATGAAACTGGCAACTCCAGATCTTCTTGAACAACTGAAAAAAGAAAGAGGGAGAAATTCCATATGCAGGCAGCTGGAAATCAAATATAGACGTTGTAGGAATGCTGCTTGAGTATTGTTGACAAAGGCAAAACGGGAAAAGGCCAGTAGAATAACTCTGACTGGGCTTGAAAGTTGGAAAATCTGAAAAGTCTGCTTATTTTAAAAGAAAAAAACTCAGAAAAACAGAGACATTTTATCTTAGTCACATTCATGAAATGGCAGTATATGAACTTTTAATGCATATGATAATATTTTTAATAGTTTGTTCCCTTCTTTTAGCTTTCGTTATTGGAAAAGGCTGGATTTGGAGGTGTTCTTCTGTATATTGATCCTTGTGATTTACCAAAGACTACTAATCTTAGCTATGATACCTTCATGGTATCACTGAATCCAGGAGGAGACCCTTCTACGCCTGGTTATCCAAGTGTTGGTAAGTTTGTTGTTAATCTTTATTATTGTTATAAACATTACAAGGTGGCAGTTTATAAGTACGTGTACCAAAGTTAATCAAAGAATAGTAAAGTCGAAGAATTCTTACCACTCCTTATTTTAAAAGTGAATTTTTTTTTATAATTTAAAAGTGATTTTTTTATCTTAAAATTTTAGACTACCCATTTGTTGGAATAAAACATTTAAAAAAGTCTATAATATATTTTTGTCTCAATAAATAGCAGTATTGTGAACAGAGAGAAACCATATTTTATGTGTTATTATTGATTGATAAGATAAATTAACACCATGTGAGATGGGCTCTCCATGTAGGTGTAAAGCATGTACAAATACCTAGAAGCATGAAATGTCTGCTGCTTTGGGGGAGCTGTAATAACTTTAAGTCCAGAATCTAAGGGTTCACGTGGTCAAGTTAGGTGACTAAAATAGTGGGAAATGATGCTGGATAAGAAGAGAGTTAATATGATCAAATTGTCCGGCTCCCTAAAAGAAGGGATCTCATTGGTTTGGCCAGCCACTGGCAGAACAGAGATAGCCATTTTTGCGTCAGACATCTTTCTCTTTCCCAGTAAGCTGTGTTCATGATAGAGGGGCCCATGTGGCAGAGAGAAGACAACTACGATTTGGCAGGGGCTCACTGCATCATTGAATTTCTGTACAATGTGTCATTGACAAATATTCTGTTTACATAGATTTGGCTGAAGAAAAAGCTCTTTGGACCCTCTTCCAGGGTGATACTAACCATTAACCATGACACTTCAGTCAGTAATTAAACTACAAAACAATTCATGTAATTATCCATGTTTTCTGGCAATATTTTTCCTTGCTTTGTACAAAATATCACAAAAGACTTTACTAGTTATTTTACTCAAGTCCAGCTGTCCTTTATATACTAACTTTACGAATCAATTAAACTTTTCCAAGAAGGAATTAAATTGAGTCAAATATGAGTTATAACTTTTGAATTTTATTGGGTCTACTGTTTACTGCTTTGTCTTTTAAAGTACCCCTTTAATAACTGATGTAAGAATTTTCTCTGGTATCTCATTTATTTGTGCTTTGTGTAGTCCACTGTCTCATTATTATAATTTTGAAATTAAAATTAGTAGGTGTCCATCTACAATTCACCTCATCACCAAAATATCAGTCCAGCTCTCTCATTTGCAAATGCTCTGACTCGGATTGTAAGGCTTCAGCTTCAGGAGGTTGCATGTGGTAGTTAATTCTTTGTGGCAAATCAATGCTACTGAAAAGCAGGTACTGTATGAACACTCTGCTTAAGTTGGTAAGTTGCCCAGTTGGCAACATCTACTCTTAAGTTTTTTTGGCTCAGGTCATTTCATAAATGTAGAATTCAGTCATACCTAGCAAAATGTTAACCAGAGTCTTGAGCAGTTTCAGAATGCTGTTTTGTCTTTTCTTTTTCTATTTTGGAATAATTTCAACACACACAAAAATTGCAAATATATAGAGAATCTGTATACCTTTATATCAGAATCTTTTAATATCAACATCTTACATAACATAGTATAATTATCAAAGCCATAAAATTAACATTGATACAATGCCATGAATTAGTTACAGACTTTATTCAAATTTCCCCAATTTTCTACTTTTTTTTTCTTGGTCCAGCATCAAAAACAGAGTTCCATACTGCATTTAGTTGCCTTGTCTCCTTAATCCTGTCTAATATAGAAGAATTCCTCAGTGTTTCTTTTATTGTTTTGACTTTTTTTTTTTTGAGGAAGATTAGCCCTGAGCTAACTACTGCCAGTCCTCCTCTTTTTTGCTGAGGAAGCCTGGCCCTGAGCTAACATCCGTGCCCATCTTCCTCTACTTTATATGTGGGATGCCTACCACAGCATGGCGTGTCATGTGGTGCCATGTTTGCACCCAGGATCCGAACCAGCGAATCGTGGGCCGCTGAGAAGCGGAACATGAGAACTTAACAGCTGTGCCACTGGGCTGGCCCAGCTTTGACATTTAAAAATTACTGAAAGTTTATTTTGTAGGATGTTCCTCAATTGAGCTCATCCAATATTTTCTCATGATTACATTTTTGGCAGGAATACTGCAGAAGAGCTGTTGTATCCTTCTCAGTGCATTATATGAGGGGTACATATTGTAGATACGTCTCATTTCTCATGGTGCTATCTTTGATCCCTTGGTTATGGTTGTGTCTGTCAGTTTTCTCCACTATAAAGGTACTGATTTTTTCCTTTGCAATTAATGAATATCTTGTAGAGATATACTATGAGACTATATAAACATCCTCCTTCTTATCATACTTTTCCCCATATATTTTAGCATCCATCAATGATTCTTGTCTCTTACAATTATTGCTGTGGTATTTGCCAAATGATGATGTTTTTCATTTACATCATTCCTTTAGAAGACTTTTTAAAGAAGCATTTTTATGATATTGATACTGAGCCTCTTAACCTCAGGTTCATGCCACATGTGCAATAAGCCAATCACTAAGACATCAGTGCTTGGAGATGGAGAAAATTTTATTCAAACTGGCAAAAATAAGGAGGCAGGAGGCTAGGTTCTCTCAAATCCACCTTAACAAAAGAAGAGAGTAGGGGATTTTACAGAGTTAAGGGGCTTGGGAAGAGGAGTTTCAGAGAAACAAAGGGGAAATCTGTGTTCTTTTCACTCCAGATATGCCCTTGGGCAATCTGTCTTCTGGGCATCAATGGCAGCTGGGGGCTGGTCATCTAGTGATCCTAACTTCCTTGAAGGCATTCATTTTCTTCTGCAAAACCAACTTGTAAATATTTGTGACCCTTGAGTCACCCTTCAGGTTAAACAAAAAAAAACAGCAAATTAACAAGATTAACTTCTTTTCATCTGTATCTGTGTTGGGAAAAAGGTAGAAGGTTGATCATGTTCTTATTGAATATTTAAAGTAACCCTCAGGTACTAAGCTTTAATATGAATAATCGTACTTGCTGCCTACATTCTCAAACAAAGATGAAATGACTAACCATTTTGGGCAAAAATTTGTCAGACTTCTTAGATTCAATGACAAAATACCAGTGCAGTAAGTGGCATTATTTACTATATTACTCATGTACTTATCGAGGACTTATATGAAAAATTCCTTTAAAATATAATGCTGGAGTGGGGCATAGGGAGAGGATCTTTTTTTACGTATGAATCTCTATACAATACACAGAAAAGGAAAAGCTACAACCCATTGTATTTCTTTTTTTGCCCTGGTTGATAAGAAGCTCGGATTAACTACAGTGATTTATACCCCTGGTCTCTGATTCATTTATCCCTCTTTCCTAAAATTATCTCAAAATCTCTGTGTCTTATGGTTTCATTTACATTTTTTTTTATAAATAATGCAGCCCTCCTCGATTTTTGAGGGGAGAGAGAGCAGGAGAAGGCAGGTTGTGAATTGGAAATAAAAACTACAAATAATAATTTATTTATAGTGAACAACAATATCTTACTTAATGCCCTAAAATACTGTCAGTTAAATGATTATTAGAGGAATTAATATAAAACTGCCTCTTTTAGGAACTCCGTTTCATTAACTAATCTATGAATGATTAAGTTCTTAGGAAGTAGCTTAGAATAACAAAAATCAAAGAAGGTGTTTTTTAGTATATATATATTTTTTTGCTGAAGAAAATTTGCCCTGAGCTAACATCTATTGCCAACCTTCCCCTTTTTGCTTGAGGAAGATTCACCCTGAGCTAACATCTATGCCAGTCTTCCTCTATTGTATATGTGGGTCACTGCCAGAAGATGGCCATAAATGAGTGGTGTAGGTACACGGCCCAGACCCAAACCTGAGTGACCAAAGTGGAGCATGCTGAACTTAATCACTAGACCTTGGGCCAGCCCCAATTTTTTTTTTTTTTAATATATACAAAATAAAAGAATAGCATAATGAACCCTCCGTATGCCTAAACCAGTTTAATCAACTAGTTACATTCTGCCAGTTTTTGGTCTGTACATCCCCTCACAGTCCACAGCACTGCTTATTTTCTTTTTAATTTTTTTTGTCTTTTGAGGAAGATTAGATCTGAGCTATCATCCACCCCCAATCCTCTTCTTTTTGCTGAGGAAGATTGGCCCTCAGCTAACATCCGTGCCCATCTTTCTCTACTTTATGTGTGGGATGCCTGCCACAGCATGGCTTGATAAGTGGTACGTAGGTCTCTGCTGGGGAACCACACTGGCAAACTCCAGGCCGCTGAAACAGAGTGTGCGAACTTAACTGCTATGCCACCAGGCCAGCCCAGCACCACTTATTTTTCCAGACAAAATTTACGTAAATTGAAATGCACAAATCTTAACTGACAAAAAGTTACACCCATGTAATCTCCATGCCCATTTAGCTATAAAACATTTCCATCACCTCCACAATTTCTCTGAGTTGGTTCAGTCATTCCCCATCACCAGCTCTAGCTAACCACCAGTCTCACTTTTTTCACAGTACAATATTGTAGAACTTCATAAAAATGGAAATGTGAAGTATTTATTCTATTGTTTGCAGGTTCTTTTGCTCAGAATAATGTCTATGATATTTTTTCAAGGTTGCAGGTATCAGTAGTTTGTTCCCTTTTATTGTTCGGAAGTATACCACAATTTTTGTATTGATTCAAGTAGGTGTTTTTTAAAACAAGAATGTCAATGCACTCTTTCACAGTACATGATCCAAATGGATTGTCCAAATAAGGCACAGGAACTTTCTATAAGGTAGTTCTGCTGTGTAAGTCTCATTGCATATCCAAATACTAGTTCTTGATTATTATAGAATCAGAGAAAATAGTAAAAAAAATTTAAATAATATTTGCCCCTACAACATAGAAAATAATTTTTTATCATTCTTTTAACAAGAACAAGCCTTTAGATTCATTTAGCTTGTTAATTAAGCAAAGGAAGGATTATACTAAGATATATCTCACAGGATTGTCAGTGAGGAGATGCACAGTGATGAGCTCCACCTCAGACTTCAAT